CAGTCTCCTCGGGATTTACGTAACTCTGAAGCCATTTGCTCGACAAAACAGCATGACCTTCCCCCCTGTTCCAATATCTAGTGCATTAAGAAAGACTAACAAATGCCTCTGCCATTTATAGTTATACCAGAAACAAGACAGCACAACTAAACTTTCTTTTGGATATCAACTGTGTACATAGTAAACATATACACGTGTACACATAGTGATAAATATATTTATAATTTAAAATGAAATACTTCTACTACTACTACGTGGAAGAAGACTAATTAACTAAAATAATAATTGATGCACTAACCGAAGAAATCAATCACTGCTATGCTATATTAGCGCAATATGCGGTAGAAATTATTTATCTAAGCATTCGAACGACTCAAGTTTATAATACCGACGCTAATTGTCTACAAGTATTTTTTTGACTAAGATGTCAAGGTGGAGTGTTCAGGGCGTTTTTTTTTTTTTTTCATTTTCATATCCAAAATGTATTTACATATATCACTGTACACAGTGTGCTGTATATGTGGAAACATACGAATTATTGATGAAGAATTTATTGAATGCTTTTTATAATTAAAACAACAACAAAAAGGCAAAGAACCAAACGTCTTACAGAAAATGAAAGCTTTTCAAAAGAGAAAAAATTTATCATAAAAGAACAAGACTTCTTTACTTACGATCTTTACAAGATTAGGAATTTAGAGTAACATACAACGGAAACGAAGCAATAAAATAAAGAGAAAACAAGTAAGAAATCGAGCAAGGTCAACTATTAGATACCACACATCACTTCTCCTAATGTAATCAGTCATTCACAGTTAATTTTTATATCAAATTGCTATTATGGATCAATTTTCATCATGAACATGACAAAACTTCAACTCTTTTATCTTAAAGCACAACAATTTTAGTGAAAATTCTTGTATAGCGCAGGATCCAAAAGCAGGCCGGAACGATCTAAATTTGGTAAAGATAATCTTTATATCAAATTATTATTATTATGGGTCAGTTTGCATCACGACATATTACAACCTAAATTTTTTTACCTTAAAAACCAAATTTTGTTATAGGGTAGGATGCAAAAAATAGGTCGAGATAGTCCAAATTTGGTACAGTTAATTTTTTTTTTACTATAGTGATCCGATTTGCGTCACAATGCATTGATAATTAGACCGTTTTGTTATATGAATATCAGTTTTTGTTATATGAGGTGGGGGTTCAACGAATTGCCCGAGCTGGCCAAAAGTTTTCACACCAATTTAAAATGATGATATATTATTACTTAGCCATTTTTGTATAGAAATCTTGCAATTTGCAGTGTTTTTGTATATAACGACTTTCCAAAATAGGGCGCTATATGGCGAGTGATCGAAACAGGGAACCGATCCAAACCATTTTTAATAGGATTCATCTTTGAATCAAAACACTTTCGTATAGCAAATTTTATCAAAATATTTTAGAAATTGCGACCTGTATTTCGAACACAAAATAGATCAGCAGAGTTATCGGTGTAATAAAAGGTACACCTATCTTAATCTCTTCTACCTGTGAGATACGTTCACACAAATTTCATAAATCCTTTACCACAAGTAGGGTATATTCATACCCTATACATTACTTGTGTGTATGTATCGCGATGCGCCTTAAAAAAATTCATTTACTTTCGAAAATTTTCCTCAACCTCATCTCGTATTTAGAACTTCCCTCGCTCGAAATATTAGCAATCAGCAGAAAAATGCTGATAATACGTTTCCCTTTCCCTAGAATATCAAGTAAAATATTTGGTATAAGTTCTCAACTCGAGTAAGAAAATCCTTGAATCTAATAACTTAATCTAAAAAAAGATTTATAAATAAATTTCAATCCACTTATACTTATATGCCAGCCAGATTCTTTTATCGTTAGAACCATTTCACACCAACGCAATATTTCCCTTTCTATTCGCTATGAGATTATTATTCACATGATACTCTCGTTCTATAGTTTGAAGGCTTTGCAAGCATTTGGAAAACTATTTGGTGGTCCTCCCCACCCGAAATTCTTGACATTCGCTGGCGACTATTTGTGGTCATCTCTTGACAAGTGAACAATTGTATGTGCTATTGTAAGAACATCATATTGGTTGCACATTGTAAGGAGAATACGTCGCCTATGCGAGGATATTTACAATAAGTAAATTTTACTGAATTTTAATCTGAGACAGGATTCTGACGGCTTTTTATAATATATGGATGGGATAGCATATGTGCTTTGAGCAAAACGATTGCAAAACAAGCACCCATCCAGCGAGAAAATAGGTTTTAAAAATTATAAAAGGCGAAATATGTATGTAATTTGGATTGTGTAGGAACCATTTCACATAAACCACATGCCAATGTTTTCGAAGATCAGCTGCTTCCAATAGTTCAACTCGGACGCGTACATTTAGTTAAATTGCATTAAGCTGATAAGAAATTTGTTGTTGATTTTGGTTCGGGTACCTACAAGAGATGTGTCCTACCTTCGACCGCCTCTAACTACTACTACTACTACTACTACTACTACTAACTTCTGCAGACATTTTATTCTGATTGATGAGTTTATGTTTTTTATTTTCAGTACGGTACTTTTATGATTCTATTGTTGATTGCCGAGATTGTTGCCGGCGGTTTGGCTGCATTTTATAAAGATACGGTAATATTTAATAAAGCGATAAGCTCGAGAAACTTTCAAGCAGTTAATGGTTTTCTTGCTTTGCTTCATTACTTAGGCACGTAATGAAACGAAAACGTTTCTGCAATCAACCATAACCAAATATTACACAAGTAGAGAACACACGGATGCCGTTACATTAATGTGGAATCAAATGATGAGCACATTCGCTTGTTGCGGTGTTAACGATTATCGCGATTTCGATATGTCGACAGCATGGTCAGCTAACAAAGGCAATCGCACTATACCCGAAGTCTGTTGTATATTAAAGGATGTTAAACTTATGGTGCCGAGAGATGAAGACTGTGTAACAAATCCCAATGAGGGAAATAGTTTTTTCAAAAGGGTAAACTAATTATAAGCAAGCCAAAAAATATAAAAGAAAAAAAATAAAAAATAAATAAATGTTTTTTTTTTTTATATTCACATCTATGTACTCCTAACAGGGTTGCTACGAAGTATTTACCGAATGGATTGTAACTAACCGCGAACTGCTTGTTGCCGTTTTACTAAGTGCTGGATTTGTGCATTTATTGGCTATATTTTTGGCCTTTTGTCTGTGTAAATCATTCGCCAAATATCACGGCATGAGACTGTAAATTCAATACTAAAATTTTTTCTTTTCTTTTTTTTTTTTTTTTCAATATTTATTTAATAAAAAAAACAAAAAAAAAAAAAAAAAAGAAAGAAAACTAAAGAGGTATTATTATTAATTTGAATTGATAAAATAAATACAAGAATAGAATTTTCTTTTAATTTTCATTAATTGATTTGTTAAATATTAATGTATGTATCAATATTATTAAAAAAAATGTTCATTGTTAGGTATTTTTATACATGTTTTTTTTTTTTTTTTTTTTTTTTTTTTTTTTTTTGTTCTGTTTTTTCATATTTTTATGCCCATCATTAGATAAGAGGATGGTATTATAAAATTTTGAAACACTTCTCTTACACTCTACTCTACAAGGTATACATGTAAACATACATTATAAATCAGTTGAATTAAGTCCATTTACTTGCCCGTCCGCTATTGAAATTCTCAAAACCGCAAAACTTGTAGTAGAAAGGTGAGAGGTAATGTACATATGTGTTCAATTGATCGCCACACAAATTACCCAAGCGCCTTCTCAATGAACTGCATCCTTCTTTATGCGCTCGAAAGTATGTAATACATAAATCTAAATTTCAAAAAAAAAAAAAAAAAAAAAAAAAATACTCGCAGTCAACGTTAACAAATAAATTATGCGAATATGGATTAAAAAAAAATTTTTACTTACAACTGGTCTCTCGAGCGACATATGACTACATTTATTCAGTTGATAAAGTTGAGCTTATGTCGATTAGTTGGCAAAAGTGTAGGGTATCCAGAATTCGCCAATGGGCGAATTAAAAAAAAAAATTTTTTAAGGGTTTTATTTCTCTTTTTAAAAAGTTTTCAATGAAAGAAACTACTTTCATATCGCACTTTGATTTTCTAATTTCGTTGTTCGCACAGATTCGTATTTCCACTCGAAACATCACCAACGAAACGTTTAATATTTAATATCGCAGCTATAAGCATACTTAATATACACGATACGGTAGTTGACGTTTATGCAGCATTTAGTCAGTTGAGTTATTTTTCATATATATATATATATATATATATTTTTCATATTATTCTCTTCCAATTAATTGTAAGCGAATTTTTTTTATCATTTAATAGATTTGTTTTAGTTTTTATTTTTTATTCTTGAATAACTCTTAAGCTATATTTGTATATTTAATGAAAAATTAAATGGAATTTGATTTTGTTTTAATTGTAAAACTATGTAAAATTTCTTCCTTTTTTTTTTTTTTTTTTTTTTTATTTGTCAAATAATAAAACGCAAATTATGTGAATTAAGAAAGTTGCATTTCAATTATCAATTTTTGGAAAAATCTTTGAATATTTACATTAATTTTATTAAAGTAGACTCTGAGTAGAGACGAAACCCTTAAAAATATTTCAATGGCAGTGGAGAAAGATAATAAGTAAAGTAAAGGCCAGGCAATGTAGTCATTAGCATGTCACTCCGTTGTTGGAAGTGTTGATCGGCGACCAATTAACCGATAGAATACGATTGACATTAAAACAAGTAGTCCGGCTTCATGTTAGTTGCCCAAAAAGAGAAGAAGAATTTATCGGTTTTTTCCCCCATCCCCCGTTCGCTAAACTAAAGGGCAGCCATTGAAAAATTCAATAAGTGATTGTGAATATAATTTTCGCAAAAACTGACGTAATGAGCGTTTAAATGCTCATGGCTGAGTCTCGACAATCTTGAACATCGGCTTGATACAAGCTGCGCTGTGCTTATGTATGTACATATTGCGATAATAAGTCGTATGATGGGGGACTGGATATGTGTGTGCAATGGGGAACTTCAACAGAGCAACTCCACTTTTTCAGAGTTCACATTCATTATGAGCTGACATCGCTTGCATATCAGACGATAGATACCTCACCACAACACATTTCATTGTTCCCAGTTTTCTTACCCACGGCCTAAACTTTAGTTGGATCATGTCTAACCACTTGTCCGATTTTTACTTTCCTCAATCCACTTATAAGCCTTCTTAACCATCATCTTGTATACATAGAGCTGATATAGCGGCAAGCATCCCTTAAGTACACGATTGATTATTTAAAACAAAAGAAAAAAAGCCAAAAGTATTTATGAAATATTATTTATACTCCGTTTTTATTATTTTAAATGAATTTTCAAATAAGCCTAACGTTCAATTTGTTTGTTTAAAGCGTATAAAACAACAATTTTAATCAAAGGAAGGGAATTTCGTATTCTTTAAAGGTTTCAGAAGCCGGTTCACCCATAAGAGGTATGCACAAATCTTCCATATTTGGGTATACGAAGAACTGAGTAATCGCTTCACAAATCTTGCTTTCGATAACATTTGTAACAAGAGCCCAATCAACAGATGTCTCACCGACCGAGGGATGAGCGCTCAACCATACGCGAGGTGGAGCACGGAAACTGCAATAAATGAAAGGAAAACTAACTTCGCTTAAAACAAATCAAAAAATTTACCCTATCCATATGCGATCAGATGGGGGCGGCGGTATATTAAGTGCAACTCTTCCTATTATCCCTCTTATCTCTAAGTTCAAATTAATAGTTGTGTGCATTTTTTCCATAGCCCTTTGTACGTATGGATTATCGGTAGCAATTTGAATCAAATCCAATGCGGCTATGCGATCCACAAATCCAAGCAGACGTCTACGTGCCGGCGGAACCCTAAAAAACAATTTTAAAAAAATCGAGTACAGAAGCGAATTACCATAAAATTTGTAATTCTCCATACACTTTATTATCAGATGTCTTATCGATTTGATTTGCCGTTGCTGCTGTTGAATCTTTTTCTATTTCCGTGTATTCTTCTTCTGTCAGATGATCATCTTTTGATCGACCATCAGATTCTTTGTTGGTCACTGTAATAAAGGATTCCGCGCTAGATGTTGCAGAGCTTTCGAAATCACTTTCGTACGCTGCACTGCTTTGCGAAATCGAATCGAATTGCAATTCATGCTCTTCTTCTGGATCCTTAATTTCATCCAGATCACATCTTGTCGATAAACATGAACGTGGCATCCTCCTTTTCACATCCGTATTCACTTCTACTAAAACGTGTGCCGGACTCTTATCACGTTTTCTACGTTTCATATCAATTTTCGTGATTATGGTCAAATGGAACCGGCCCTCATACGTGATATCCGCATCCACCCAAACGCCACTTTCGTCTATTACAGGTTGCGAAAACCGATGTATAAGTGGTGGAGTTTTACCCACATCCACCGTTTCAACACTAACACTTTCTATAAACGAAGGTAGCTGAAAATAAATACAATAACATTTTCCTCTGCAGGATAATTTTACTCCTTTTTTTTTTGTGTACAGTTATTACCTTCACTTGATTGATTTTCTTTTGTAAAAAATATTTGATTTTTTTAAGTACTTCATCATTTTGGAGAGCACCATACATGACGCGACCAATTAATACATTCGCCCAAACAACACTACCAGAAGGGCCCAAGAACAATGATTGATCGATACCTTTCCAAAGTATATTCTCTTGACGTATTGAACGTTTACGCTGAAGAAAAAACAAAAAAAATAAATAAATAAAAAAAAAACCACCAACAAAATGGTAAATGATTAGGTTGCTTCAAAGAAGAATTCCCACCCTTTTGTCGTGATGTTCTTTTACCACCGTTCCTTTAAAAATGGGTATACGTTCTTGTGTACAAGCTTTCTGGAAATGATTCGAAAATTATTTTAATATCATTAAAGCAGTATTCACGTAATTTATTGATTACCTGAATTGTCGCCATAAAGTTTAAATATTGAGGATCACATCGCGCAGCTGAATCGTACATTATTAAACCCTCGATAGATTCATCATATAGACGTTCCAATGATTTCTTCGAATGTTCGGTAAATTGCACCCTCTGTGAAGACCATTGAAACGAGCTCGAGTGTGAAAAACGGAGCAATCAATAAGCGGTTATTTATGGCATAGAAAACGTTCTGTGACACCCACCCTCTCCCTCCACCAACCTCACCCACACAAAATTTCTTAAAAAAGTTTCATTGGTTCAATTACACATGGACTCTTTCCTAAAAATCTTATCCAAAATAAAAATACACTGTTTTCCCATCACTAGTGTTTCCTTTTTGAGGCTGCCTTCTATAAAATCAAATTATAAAATAATACTGCGCCTGCGTAGGTCAAAATATAGAATATTTTTAGTGCTATTCAAAAAAAAAAAAAAATCGTGAAAGACGGAAAGGTTGAGTAGTTAATTAGGCTTAAATAAATTAATTAATTTTAAATATTTTCATAATACAAATCCGAATTTATCGTTCTTTCCTTTTGCACATAATTCAAAAATTGGCCTTTGTAGGTCCACCTCGAGACTGTAGCTTCTTCCTATTTCTGCTTGTGGGCAGTTTGTTCTACAGAATTTATTATTGTACAGTCGCGTTAATGTGCTTGACTTCACCACCGTTACTTTGCACCTGCTGATCTTGTACAACACTTTCGCCCTACTATTATCCACTTTCTTGATAAATGAAAAATTAAATTGAATTATGGCGAGGATTCTTTCTATTGCAAACATCCAAATTTCGGAATAAAAAACAAACATTTTTCTTAGTTACTACGCTTGATAGCTTATCTTGGCGCGAATTTCTTCGTGAATATGAATAGCATTTATGCCTTTTTCTATAGAAAGCTCATCTTACGTCTGAGCATAAAACCGCTTCAATGCGCTTGCAGTCTGACCTAAGGTTATCCTATGAATTAAAGTTGGGATACGTTTGAGATTACCTAACAATTTAATACTGCATGCTGTGGTAAAGCGTAGCTGATATAAAACAACGGACGGAAAAACATATACCTCCTATTATTCGCAACTAAGTACGCAATATGTGACGACGGCAGGTGTTAGACGATGCACAAAACAATTTTTATTTATGATAATGCAATTATTTACTTCTCCGGTCTTATGTTTTTGTTGCCCTTTGAGTTGAATATTATACGGATTTGCTAATGTATCTGCTGCTGCCGAAGCAAGTTTTACATCTTCTTCATCCATATCTCTTATGTTAGATATGTTAAGATCCCGATCTCTAA